TGAGAAATGAGAGTTTAATTCAAGGAAAACAATTATTCCTTATTTCTCACTTGTTATTACTGATATGGAAAGTACAGTATTTATAGAAATGAAGCAACAGACTCTGACCTAATAACAAACACTAAACTAATTAACTAACTAATTAGCTAACTAATGACTGGAAACTTATTACTGGAAAATAAAGAAGTAAAGAAATAATAGAGAAATAATGACGTGGATGATGAATATTCCCTATAGATGGTTCCATTGAGAAAATAAGGCGTTTTTGTAGAGGAAGATCACAAATCGCACCCATTCGTTCATGTTCATCAGATTGTCATAATAATTCCGCAATAATAAACAATCGTTCATAATGAATCCAGATATATAACCCAAATTCGTGAATCCTAATATTCTGGCATGATATAGATCCTAGGCTTTTGGTTATTTGCATCTAGATTTGGTTTCGGTTTTAGATATGATTTATATTTCTAACAGAAATCATGAGCATGGGCAACGATGTCTAACAAAGTCTGGGTCGCCACCGCTTTCTGAGCAATGGTGTCGCCGGTGAGGGCAAGGTTGGCAGCGGTGGCAGCTTGCTTGAGTGGGAACCGTTTACCGGCAGTGCCTCCTGTGGCTTCCACTGAGCTTGAGGATTTCGAATTTCCACTGGTTCTGTTCCTCTTACCGTCACTCCTCTTCTGAATATTGAGATGACACGACCCCATTCCCCATATGCCGCCATTTCCACCAGCACTGGCACCGAATAACCCCATTTCTGTGACAGATACTGAGAATCACAGATTCAACAAACAAGAAGCCAATTTATTTTATTGTTCTTTCTTCTTGTAATTTCTTTACAGTTTGAGTAAATCACAAGTCAATGGGATTTTCAATTTTCAAATTGGAGGATACGTCTCGTTCTCATTAACTAAAGAGTTAAACTATAAGTTGGTAGGCCGCAAGAATCTCAATCGATGAGATATTGAAATCCGGATTCCTTTGTTTATAGCTCAAGATTTATAATATTAAACAATATCGTACAAATTTGTTGGTTCTAACGTAAAATATCCTAGTTTTTGTAAAATTTCATGCATCTCCATGTTCAACAATCAAAGATAAGATTAATGTTGAGCTTGTGCTATTTTTCGTGTGGTTCAATACTTCAACATAATTGTGCATGACAAAACATTATTCAAGTGGTTTATAGAAATCTTTCAAATTGTAACTAACCCCTTTTCGAAAGGGCATCGCTAATATTGAGGATTTTGATTTTCAAAACTCTTACAACCCTAAATATATATCGATTATGTATTTGAGTTTGAACTATTTTATCTAATTTTTGATACCTAATTGCACGCTTTGATCGAGATGTGGCATCTTTATATTGACATTAACCTAGATTAGATTGAGACTCTAGTTTCATGGTATCTATTGTTTAGTCTCATAATTTTACGTTTAAGTAGTTATTTATTACTTTGTAAGATTGACTAATTATTTCGATTAGGACCCTTTTCGGTAGATTTAATCTTGGTGAATTGGTGTGATAACCTAACTCTTTACAAAAACTATTAGAACCTCTTCTTTGTCCAAATCTCTATTTTCAGTGATTTTATTTGATGGTTATAATTCCTATACGATTTTTATATATAAATATCCACTTACTAGAAGGAGGACATCAATTCCATTGTCGTCCAGCGGTTAGGATATCTGGCTTTCACCCAGGAGACCCGGGTTCGATTCCCGGCAATGGAATCTTTTTGTAAATTTTAAAGTTTTATCACTCTGTAAAAATTCCGATTCTTGTCTAAAATGTTAAATAGAAGATACATTGTTTTTATGAAAATTTGTAAGAAATGGTGGATTTTGTTTTGCAATAAATGTTGATTACTTATCTGTCTATATGACTTCTCCCCAACTCAAAATTCATTGCGTCGATTTGGAAACAGAAACACAGACTCTCAAATCAGATCGTATGAAGTCGAAGATTCATACCCGGATTCCGAGTTGTTGGTACTGAGAATCGAGAGGAAAAATTGCTGAAAGCAGGGACGGATGATTTGGGGGCTGCAGCCTATAGCCCCCTGATTTTCCCGATTTTTTTTTAGTTAGAAAAAAATATTGTAAAAACAAAAAAAAAATCATGTGTAATTTTTTTTTTTTTTACGTATTAGTCCGACTTGTAATCCGATATTGGATCCGTCCTGGCTGAAAGTGTCCAGCTAAAAAGGCTCAACTGCTTGTACTCCTGCAAATATTCAAGTCCAATATGACAAATGTATTCTCTTTATCTCTTATTATATACAGCAACAAATAATAACAGTCTTTTCTCCACATATTGTGAGCAATGCACTATGAAACTGTGCATCAGAACAAATGCATATTTTGCTGAACTTTTAACAGGGACATCGATGATCAGGCACTAAACTAGAAGAAAAGATGACTTAAACCGCAAACAGAAAAGTTATCCAGGGCTCTCTTACGAGCACCAGCATCCATTTACTATAGTAGGCACCGAAACCTGAAACCTCAATGCTCTATGATAATAAGGAATTGGTGCGAGAAAAATATGGAAATCACAATAGTAATTCATAGACATCAAAGTTCAAAAAAATAAAAAATGGAATCTTCAGAATCCACAAAAACTCCAAATTCAAGATAGTTTCACGTCAATCCCATTATGGGAATCATCAATATGTTACAGATGTTGATAAATGATGCTTTACGGACCAATGGCTTCATTCCCGACTACAATAATTATATATTTAACAATCTACATGCTTTAGCAAACTGCTAATTCATTCATCTTCAAAACTTGAACAGGTCCGAATCTCCGAGGCGAACATTGCAGTCGTTTCCGGGCCTGAACAGAAAGAGTGAGATTAAATCAAGCGTGATGTAAAGAGAGAGTAACAAAGCAGCAAGACTTTTGCATTGTCCCATACCTAGGTTGTAATGTTACAGAGAAAGTAGGATAAGTTATTAATATTAGCAGCTTAATTATGAACTAACCACTAAACCAAAATCAGCTAATTTTGTGCAGTAATAATTGTGAGTTGCGACGACCTTTTTATTGTCTTTTTTCCTTCTCATTTTCATGCCTTTTGGTGTTGAATGTACTTTACGAGGCACCATGTTTTCAGGAAATAGTGTTATAATTGTAGTAATGAATCGTATGTGGGACAAGAATGTTACTGGGATCCAGATTATAACTCAAAATGGCATGGCGAATAAGATAAATCCATTTGAAATAATTTAAGACTGTATAGGTGAGTTTCTAGATAAAAATTCAAGCAATCGACTCCCTAAATTTTGAGAGAAGAACACCGATAATTCCTCAACATCAAAATCTTCCATTTAAAAAAGCTGAAAATGAAAATGTCATTTTTCTCCCATCTTGCAAATGTTCTTCTTTAATTTTGACGGGACATTTCATCACAATCTTTAACCTCTTCTATCAACAGAAATATTCAACTATTCTTTCACAAAAAATGTTTCAAATTTCAAATTGTTTAGCAGCCACGTCTCGAATTTCTTCAACGTTTTCCAAAAGAAACATGAATCAGTCCATGAGCACAAGAAACAGGTAATTTCTCATGATTTACCGAGGTATTAATGCTTCTTTTGGCCAAAACTCAAAACCGTTCTCTCCATCCAGAATGAATTTCGACAAGAATCAGAATCATAAAAAAGAAACACAAATGAGCCATTCGAGGAAAATGATACGCAAAACAATGAAAATTATGAAATCGATGAATGACCTGATAAAAATAACAGATGGGCAACTAATTGACTTGAGATTTTGGCCTTTCCATAGCAAAATCCATGTTTCCAAAACAGATTAACAAAGGAAATTGGAACAAAATATCTATCATTCATTGCACCAAACAAAAGCCATTAAAAATGTAAAACAAAACCCCCTTTTACCTCTGGGATTTGGGAAGAAAACCCATGTGCCCAAAACATGTACAGCAGCATGCAATGCCATAGCCATCAGCTGAAAGAGGCGTTTGTTCAATACAGAGTAAAGATGCAAGAGCTAAATAATGCAATAGAGATACTGCAGTAGTATTGGTTCAAAAGAACTTTCTCCCACAGAATGCTAGCCGAAAAGCCCTTTGTCTCTCCTTCATACTCAGCCCCTATCTGTAACTGATGAGTTTTTGTTTGTTCGTGGGGTGGACACGAATCACGAGGAAGAGGAAGGCTGTGCACAGAGAATAGGTCAAGGATAAGTGCAAGGACAAAGGGTAAAACTTGAAACTGAAAATTCTTTTAAAATGCGTTGTTTTTTACTCTTTTGGATGAGCTTGCAGTTGCAGGTGTCACGTTAAAGCAGTCTTTTAAAACCCGGTTCGCCCAGCGGTTGAACCGAAAAACCCATTACCCGACCATCGATTTGGTTTGAGCCGTTCTTTTTGATTAGTCTACTATTAAATCCACGCCCATTAACCAAAGGATTAATTTAGTAAATGATAATTTTTATAATAAAACTTCTTTTTTATTATATTTGAGAGGAATTGATTCATCAGTTCAATCCCTAAGTTAGCGTTGAAACACTAATTCGAGTTAGTACAGGTCAAGTTTAAAAACTATGTGTCTTCCATTTTTCTTTTTCCTCATCGACCATCGTGGAGATTGACATAAACACTAAAAATTAGTTATACAACAATTTTAAACTGATTAATCATGTTTGGCAAATAAGCATATAGCTAAACCGCATAGGTGTAAGGCTCACAATTGACCTATCTTTGACCACGCATTTTTGTAGGGGTTAATCCATTTGTTATTAATGATTTGTACATAATGGATTACCCTCTCTCACATAATGCACAGGATCCGCGTGTATTTAAAAATTTCGACAATGTGGTCCACATCCCCATTGTGAGTAGTAGGTAAAAGATTCGATAAAAAAATTCGATACATGTAGCATGATCCAAACAATAATAAGGCTTTTGGACATGAATAGTATTAGCATGTCATTACAATGTGTTAACATTTAGTTTAAATTCATAAATGAAAAGAGAGAACCTTACACACGATTTAACTATTAAATTCACATCCTTGGATTGAGTAACGTTTTAAATGTTTCGAAGTTACAAAATTATCGAGGTTTGTTTTTGAAAAGAGGTAGGATTAGGAGTGTGGCTTCTTATTCTCGACCTTCAATTTGTTTGGACTTAGGTCCACTCGTACAAAATACTATTGTCAAAAGCCCATTCATGAGTCGACCATTTGGTTTATATTTGACATGCAGCGTTTGATCGTAGTGAACCACTTTTAAAACTTTTTCTTCTTTAAAATTGTTAAATGATGCATAGACTTAACCGTCAAATCATGCATAGGATAGGAAGACAGAGGTCTCCAGGTTTCACCATTCCAAAATTAAACCATACCACAGAGAGAGAAGAGGAGAAATAACCTGATTCAGAACACATGGGAAAAACAGTGCTACAGTTGGTCAAACGCCAATCTTGAATGCAAGAAAACAGAAGATAAAACGAATGTGTTCAAACTGTGCAAGAGCAATCTCTTTTTCAGTCACTCAAATTTGTAATAAATTCACCCCGTTGGTCATTCTTTTAGTCTCCATGGTATGGTGTGGTGAGGTGTGGTGTGGGGCTAAACTGATTAAATCTTATGCAAATTAGAGCTTGTTTGGGAGAGATTTTTTTAAGCGAACAAAGATTTTTTGAAAAAATGTAGTATAAAAATGTATGAATCCCACTGAATGTGAGGTTGGAAATGAAGTCTCTCCCAAACATACTCTTAGAAAGCAAGCAGCACGAAACCATCATGGACCAGAGCACAAGGAAAAAATCCAACAAGAACAAGATAATAAACGACCAAGTGACAATGTTTCCTCACCTAATATTCAAACTCAATGTACTAAAGAGAGAAGCCATTATTATTGGCAATAAAGAGAGAACCGAGTGAAAAGGAGGCCATTATTATTGGCAATGGAGGAGTCCGGGAATTCTAGTCCAGAGAACATCCCTCGAGGAAATCAAAATCGGTTGAAGTAGAAAAGATAAGTTCTGAACCTGAGCAAGATGAAGAAACCGAGGAAGGCAACTCTGTTCTCGAAACCGGGCTTTCGGCTGTCAAGGTTTTGTGGAAGAATTCGCTCGAGGGGACTTGGTGAAGAATATAACAGATTCATCTTACATTGCTCAAGTGGAAGAAGAAGTTGAGAAAATGGTGCTTCTCTCTGATCCACAGCCATCTTTGGTGAATTCGAGGGCTTCCTCTGTTAGAAAAGATGCAAATTTACAAGAATCTGAGCAAAATAATGATCATGTTTCTGATGCTCTAATTGAATCACCATGGAAGGGAACTGAGGGAACCAAATTGCCACCACAGATGAAAATGATGCCAGTTTGCCACTACCAGCATATGTTAGCAGCAGGATCATAGATGATTCAGGTACTGAATTCATTCGGTTCGCCACTGATGGCATATTCAGTAGAGGATTGAACAGAACTAGACCAAACATACACTGATTGTTTCGTTTTAGTATATAATTACTGTTTTTTCAGGAAAGCTGCATCAACTAACTACTCCCTCCCTCAAAACATTTAGCAGCCATTTTGCTGCTGCAACTCCACGAGTCCGAGCTTCTTGGATGTACTGTGGTTTGCTTGATGTTCTCAAAGGTTAAGAACAGTTATTACGAGTAAGTACCCATGCCAGATAATCTTCAATGAAAACCTTCAAGTTCATTTTCATAATTACTTCAACACAATAACTAAAGACAATGAATTACAAGTACTATATATACCATATTTCCTCGCTTCCTCAGAATTTCACACATACTTTTCTGTAAATTTTGTCATGAATAAGTATACTCTTTTTGATCAGGTCTTTAAATGAAAGAAGCCGTGAGAGTTCTAACACAACTGCATATGACATAATAACAGCATATCATTTGATAAGATCATCCACATACATTTCAGTTCAAAATTTTCTTCTTCCTAACATTTTCCATCTGTGTCATCGCAGAACATAGAAATGCTTGAAAGGAGCCTACCGCTAAAATTGTGGATAAAGCTTGGACTTCAAAAAGATTGCTGATGGTTGTTTATTGAGCACAATGACGAATAGCATTTGTTATATCATTTTCGTGGTTGGAATGTTTTGTATTAAATTAAAGAAAGTTGAGATCTCTCTCGCCTCTGAAATGTAGAGAAGAAGCTCTGGTGTATTTCAAGAACTTTTACACGGGTAGGTATAGTGTCTTTTTATAACACCACATTTTAATTGCATTGAAGGTACTTACCTTTATTCATTTCACATTTATAACTTTTTGTTTCATCCCATTATTATCAAACCTTTCATTAACTAGCAAATCGTCTTTAATCATTGTTTTCGTCCAAAAAATATTTTAAGCATACTTTAAGACAATGGACAAATATTTACTCGCATTCTTATTAAATTTTTTTTTTTTTTGGCTTATTTAAAATATGAAGGATAAATAAGTACTTTTACTCAATCTTAACGAAAATTTTTTAGCATATCAGTGTGTTAAATTCCTAGTTTAGAAAACCTATAGTCATTTGTAAACCACAAAGCTTAGTAGGATTTAGCACAATCACAAATAATTTCTTCATTATATAGAACTAATAATTCTCTGATCACAGATCATTGCAATAACTAAATATAATGTACTCAATGTAGTGTGCTAAAAATGATGTTTAAATGGACAGAGCAGAGTATCAATTGAAATTGATGATTGTTGGCTGTGTTGCCTCAACTCAAACTATATGGGATGATTAGTCTCAAAAGATGCAACAAAACCTGAACACCTATGTTGGACAAGCACAATGCTCCACTCATTTAATAACCAATTCTCCATCATATAAAAAAAAACCGAGACCAGAACTTTGGATGCCCTTAGAAACCAGACAAAGAAAAGAAGCTCCATTCAATGACTCCAGAATAATATACAGGAATTCAAGCAGAGTAAAAAGACAAATACAAATCGGATCAACTAAAAATGAAACACCTCAAGGCCAATTCCCCAAACCAAATGGAAGCAAATGTGTATCAGCAATCTTCTTGCAAGGATTAAAGATATAGCACAGAAAGAACAGCGTTTCAATTACTGAAATCATTTGCTGATAAATGGTGCAATGAGATTCGGGGAAAGCCAATAAAATATAAAATTCACACCTTAAACTTCCTCAGAAATTCAAGCACTGTCTTCTAGCAAGCCCATTATGTTCACAAGATAATAAAGTTAACATGAGAAATGCCATAATCAGAAAAGAAAGCTAAACTCCGTTAACGCAGAATTCAAAAGAAGATCATAACAATTAATACTATTATACATAATATATATTACCTGACTCAACTAATTTGGAGAACATGTCAATAATTTCCTAAGAAGTACCACATGAAGTTCCAAACAAATTTTCCTCTTTCATAAAAGCAAGGACGGATCTCAAAACACAACAATGATAAATCTGGACTAATCATACCGTTATGATGTTGTGAAACAACTGTAAACCATAAATAGAGCACCATAATAAATTATGAAGGTGACATCCATAGAAACATATCCAAATTTCAAGCAGTGAGCAGTCCAAACTATAAAATCATTCCCCACGTATTTGATTTCATAATATCCAAATTTCAGTTGTATTCACAATAATCACCAAACTGTATTCCCCAGCTTGAAGGCTTCTAAACGAAACCTATATTGTTCCAGTACTAGGCAACAATAATATTATTAAAAAGTTACTACTGTTATCAAGTAAAATCACCACACTCAGAAGTCAGAAATAGAAACCCAAACAAACAAAAGAAATATAACTTATCAAAATTGAAAACTCTTTTTTCTTGGGTTAGAATAAAGCTCTCCTGACCTCTAACTCCTGCATGTTTCCATGCATCCTATCATTGCTTAGTGCTTACTAGAGACGTGTCGAAAGTAGCAGGCAACACCCAACACCGAAGCAGCAGCAACAGCTGATCCCGCCATTACCGCCCAATCCCTTTCCTTTAGACCACCAATCAAGCCCTTTTTTTCATTGTTGACCACAATCTCCCTATTAATATCTCCATTAACACCTTCCATAATCAACATTTCCTTCACCTTCACTTCCTCATCCAATTTACTCTCCAAAACTCCAATTTTCCTTTCCATTTCCTCAACCTTCTTTTCCAACTCATTTTTCAACTTCTCCAATCCCTCATTCTTTCCCACCACAGCCTCCAATTCCTCAACTTTCTTCTTCAAATTTCGAATCTCCTCTTCCTTCCCTTCCATTTCATTCCTAAAATCACTCTTATTCACCTCCAATTCACTGAATTTAAACATCAACAAAACCCTCTCCTTCTCAATTGCCGCCAGCTTAACATCCTTCTCCTTATCCCTTCCTTTTATTTCCTCCAAATTCTTTTTCACCTCTGATAACCCAACATTTGATTCTTGCAAATCACTCATCGCAGATACCAAGTCGTGCTGCAAACGTGCCACTTCGGCTTCAAGCTCCGCAGCTCGAGCCGCCACCACCCCAAGAGCCTTGTTCTCAGATTCAGAACTTTCAACCTGTTTTTTCAACTCCACATTTTTTGCATCCGAATCTTTAACAGAGGCCTTCAATTCCTCAATCCTCTCCTTGTACTTCTTGTTCTCGGAAATTATCTTCTCATTTTCCTGCTCAAGTCCATCGATCTTTTGACTGAGAACTGAAATTTTAGACGAAGCTTCATCCCCAGTAATTTCCACCGTCCGATCATCAGAGTATTCACCGTTGATCATCGTCTCGTCCGNAAAAAAAAAAAGAAAGAAAGAAGTAAAACGTCCGTACATTGTTAACTGTGAGCAAAATACGATCTGTGAACTGCCAAACAGAATGTAACAGATATCTACAGAAGAATTACAGTAATATAAACTATAGCTTTGTATTTTATTTCTTGGGATAGAAATGGGACAATTGAAGCTGTACCGTTGTTCGAATGTCGGCGAATCGGTTCTTGAGGATGCAGAGTTACTAGGGTTTCTGATTTTTGACTGGTAAAAAGTGAAAAGATATTTTTGGGTGGTTGGGCGAGAGAAAAGATCGGATTTTTAGAGATTGTTGGCGGCACGTGGAGAAAGGTGTGAGAGCCACCTCTTTTTGGGTAATTAGGATCCATGCTTAAAAATAGAATTACAATTTTCCCGTTTGAGCCAAATTATTTCCAGAATGAGAATGAAAAATATAGTCGTTATTGGGGTCCACATAAAAGATAGAAAATTTGAATTTAAATATTGATGTGATGGATAACGATCATATTTTTCAAATTAATGAGATAAAAAAGTGGTCCAAACGGGGGCATAATCACATTAATATGCGAAGAAATAAAGAAAACATTTTTCATTTTAATAAGATAATAATATAGATCAAACGGGGGTTTGAAAAGAATCATTATGAAGATAGAATATCGACAATTTATATGAAATAATGAGATTGAACGGTTCAAATTTTATAAGAGGGAGAGAACAGAGAGAAATGTGAGAAATAATAGATTAACACATCACCAATGTTTAATCATCATAATGATAAATAGCATTACTGTCATTACATTTGTCCAAGCAATGGGCTGGATGAGATATAACCCTTGTTTGGATTCCATTTTGAGTAATATTATTCATCCCCAGTGGGGATGGAAACACAGTTTATGTGGCATTAAATAATAGGTTAAATGAAAGGTGAAATTAAATGACTTATTTAATTTCACATATCATTTAATGTCACATTAACGCCATATAGACTGTGTTTTCATTCCCAGTGAGAATGAATAGCATTACTCTTCCATTTTAGTGAAAATTCTGGGGAAAATAAGTTCTAAAATAGTGATTTTTTTAACAATGTGATTAAAATTTTAAATAATGGAGGCCTAACGGGGACTATTAGTGATATGATTTCTGTCTTCCTTTTAAGGGTGTAAATAGCCTAGAACACAAGATCTAATCCATCTACTAATCAGAATGGAGATTATTGTGATGAATTCGTGGTAAAGAAGTGTTCACCACGACAAATTCGAGTTTTTTAAACTTTATTTGGTTATTGAAATTGGTAACTTTCAAGTTTAACTTTTGATACGATAGCCTTGCACTCGAAGGTAATGCGATACTATAAAAATAACTAATTTGTTTAGTTCTTTTTTAATATTTATTAAACAATATAAATTTTACGCGTAGGAATATTGTAAAACAATTTAATTGCAAAGTTTTGCCTAAAAATTAGCTTAGACTAAAACACCATAATTTTATATATCCATTCATTATGTTGCTGCTATGGGTCACTCGATGTTGGCCTTCGCCACTGAAGAGGGATTAAGGTTTCTGTTTTGATGGAATAATGCCCGTTTCTTCTGTGTTGGAACATTTTCAAGATCTGGTTTGATCCATCTCACATAGATGTAGAAATTACACATAGATGTAGAAATCATGTATAGCTGCATCCAAGACACATCTCCAAGTGGTAAAAAGGGAATGTGGAAAAACTCCAACTTTGTTTGAGGCTGCCTCGTCAAGAGTTCGAACCTGAAATATGAATTTGGCCCTTAAGTGCAAGTGTACAAATATCCTTCCACCTTGTACCCTTGAATACATAACTTACGATTTACCTCATTCATCAAGGTCAAGGCAGGTGGGGGCCGTTAAGGATGCGACTCATCCCAGACGAAGGAGATATGAATTCCATTCAGCCATTCAGGCAGGTAAGGGCTTGGCTTGACCGTGTGTTTTCTCGGGTCGGAGGCGAAAACTTGAAAGTTAGAAATGATGTATAGTTTCTAACTTATATCCTGTCCATTTTATTGCAGACGCGATTTGATAAAGAAAGGCGACTAATGATGATATACAGTACTTTCTTGACATGTAGCTATGGTAACTTTCATATATATTTCTGTTCAAAGTTTTAGAACAGATTGAGCATTTCTCACCATGACCATAATCTGTATCATAATCAAGAGATCAAAGCAAGATCCTGACTTGGGAATTTCCATTGAACATATCGAGCTCAACCGAGTTTGTGTTAATGAGCAAAATTTACAATATGTGAAAGAGAAAGGAGAATCTCTACTGCAGGAAGTTGGCTTTAAAGAAGACAGCAGCACCCACCCGGCCACCCCCGAAACAAGACTAGCCCCTCAGGCCATCACAAACTGGTCCCTGCCTTAATACATGGTTGTTGCCATACCATATTGAATGGTACCTACTTTTCTGTGAGCAGCAACATTTGCAGCAGTGGCAGCAGCAACACCAAGTCCACCATATTGAGCTTTTGCTTGCAGCAGATTTGTGTCTATCGTGATTCTATCCTCGACATGGTGGTTCACCTTTGTCACTCCAGCTCGGGTCATATAGAATGGGTTGCTATCAATGTTAATGGCTATATCCGGAGCTAATTTGGCAGCCATGCCACAATGAGGTATTTGTTTAGAAGATTTAGACAACTCCCCCTCCGTCTCGGGTACAGGTCTTTCCTGTTTTCCTGTGCTATTTCTATTGTAACAGTAAGCCAAAGGAATAACCTGGGGAGACAGGACTCTGTTTCTGACTAAAGCTCGTGGATCATGTGTTTCTTTGATGGCATTTCCACTCTCGTATGGTAAAACTTGCCCACCAACATGTCCCGGTTTGGCTGAACATCAGTAGTTTCAAACAATTAAACAGCGAGGAAAAAAATCACCAGAAAAAAGCATAATAATTAAATGAAAATAAATCAAAGCAACAATAACAAATCAACAAGTTTTGCTGTAGAAGTACCGTGTGGTATCCTCTGCGGTGGCTGCAAGGTTCGCAATAGACAATTATGAAGCCCATCCGAATCTCTGGAGTTTCTTATGCATGCTTCTTCACCATTCTGCCGATCTTTTATAATAGAAACAGCTGGTTGTTCTTTTGCGGGGATTGAATTTGAATGTACAATAGTAGACCTGCAGAAAATCATAAAATTAAGTACTCAAAATTATTAGAATCGTATAGAGCAGAAAGATTGTTCCCTTCTATATCCGATATGAGAGACAAACAAGAACGGTGCAATGAAGGACACATTGTAACACAGTATAGACAACTAAAATTACAAGAATGCATATAGCACACCAAATGAGATACTTCCATATGCACCAATTAGAACTCTACTTTCACTATAACATTTTTCAGATACCACAGGCCAAACAAAGGAATCTTTAATAATGTTCAAAGAATGCTGAATAATATGAAGACAGCAATTAGTTATATAAAAATATTTCTCCATCTTCTGCTTTTTTATTCAGTTCACTATTTCACATAACTATGGTTCAAAAGAAACAGACAATAAAATACAACAAACAGCATACCGAGGAAGAGAAACATGCTTTCTTTCAAGGGGAATCACAGGCCCATTTTTACCACCATTTTCTTCTAAGTGAGCGAACTGCTTTTTAAATTGGTCAACGGCACTGAACATGAGAAAAGCACCACAATCATCAATAAATTTATGTGTTCAAATGGAGAGACAGTAAGCAAGCAAAAAGAACGAGAAAAATGTTATTACCTAGGATACAGAAAATTGGTTCTCTCAATTCCATTGAGGTAATCTTTACGCAGCTGAGGATGGTACTCTAATATCTCACAGAATATCAATTCTCGTATGTCCTCCTTTGTAACCCTTCGCCTCTCAAATTCAAATTCCATCTTTGAAATTGGCTGGCAAGACGGTTCCCTTTCGATTCTGGACAATCCCTTAAAGTAAGGATCAGCCAAGGCCTGACAAAACACAAAACGGAGAAGCTCAACAAAATCAATACAAAGATATCATAACTTCCCAAGAGAAAGTGTGACACCGTCTATAGGGAATAGAGACAGTGTTATCAAAATGGATCTCCTATTTTGACAAATAAGAATTTTATGAAGGAAAACAATATTCGCATTGAAGGCACAATGCACAAAAAAAGAAAAAGAAAAAAAAAAGAATAAATGTAAATGCAACATTGTCAGGAAAAATAAGTTTTCCTATTTTTATATCAAATACACTTGGGACTGTATAAAACCTTTTCAGCAGTTGGAAGATCCTCAGTATCAAAAGCAAGCAGAAAAGAAACAAACAAATGTAGATGCCATATTGTCAAGATAAGTTTTCCTATTTTTTATATAAAAACACTAGGGCATATAAAACCTCTGCAGCAGTTGGACGGTCCTTTGGATCAAAAGCAAGTAGCCTTTCTAATAGTCTGAGAGCCAAAGGATCGGCATTTGGAAACTTCTGAGCAAAGACCACAGGCTGCTTCTTGCGCATGCTGGTAAGATATCTCCGAGCCTTTTCATTTCGCACCTAAACCAAAAATATATTGAACTAAGTACAAATAGAAGTAGCATACATGTATTTAATGGTGTAAACTTGTAAAATAACAGTTATATAATAAATAAAGGAGCTGATTCATACTCGTGAAATGGTATCCATGGAAGGTGTTCCAAGAAGATCAGTTATCAAATCCAGCTGGTGAACAACATTCTTTCCAGGAAACAGTGGTTTCCCAGTCAAAACCTCAGCAAAAATGCAGCCTATACTCCATATATCAATTGCCGGCGTATACTGTACAGATGCCATAAAAAATAAACATTGACATTTGTGATTGAGGTCAGACAAATATTAGATATAATACTACGGACTACTTTTCACTATAAGTCATAGAACAATAACAAACTTAGATATAATAGATAGTAACCCAAGAAGCAATCATGACATCATATTTCAGAGGTGCCAACATCTATATAATATAACAAGATAGTTTATTAAATAATACAGCAAATAATCATTTTGTAACATTTTTATCACATCCTTGCCCTCGACTAGATCACTATTGTTTATGATATTGGTGCTTCAGTGAGACACTTCTAAAATAGATTGATTTATTGATTAATGGCGTGTGAGACTCTTCCTTAGACCCAAAAATTCTCCTTTTTTTTACGTGCTCAACTTTGAACCACAAGTTTACGGTAGCTAAGCAACACCTTCTAACACTGCACTAAGTTATCTCGTTTACAAGAATAAATAGGTCTCCAGTAAGCAACTAAATAACTAGTCAGCAAAAAAGCAGTAGAAATAAACTGAAAGTTAAATCTCGATGAAGTGAATATTTGTGACATATAGCAGCATACATTCTTTATATATTATAGTTAGTATAAAGTTTTAATATAAATTCAAAAATATGCATTTCTTGAAAAATAAGCACAGAAAAATGCAGAATAATACCTTTGAGAAAAATGAACCACACAACTCTGGAGCCCTATACCATCTTGTAGCAACATAATCCTGTATTTGTACCATCATCCAAAAAACTATCAACTACAAACTCTTAGAAAATGGACAAATGACACTGAAGAATGAAAAAATAAAATATAAACAATTAGATTTCTGAAATACCGTCCAAAATATTGTCGTCGGCGTGTCACTGAAAGCTACTCTAGCTAACCCAAAATCACATATTTTGAGTTTACAATTAGCATTTGCCAGAATATTTTTCGGTTTTAGATCTCGGTGATAAACATTAGCTGCAGACAAAAACTTCATGGTTAGATACATTTACCAAATCATAAAGCACAATTCACCAGCCCCCATTCACCCAAGTGGTGCATTACAAGTAGAAGATAAAACTGATAAATAGGAATAAACAACATATGCAACAAATTGGAAAAAAAAAATTATCTTACTATCAAGTTTTACAGAAATAGCTGCAGGACACACTATAAATCCTCTAATTATAGATATGTTCCTTTATGTAGGAATACAAACTGATTAGCAAATTAATGGATTGAACAATTATCTTTCTTCTAAAAAAAGATAACACCATGGAAAATAGATGAGAAAAGGATTTAACCTGTGTGAATGTATTTAAGAGCACGAAGCAACTGGTAGAGAAAAAACTGATAGTGTTCTCGGGTCAAGTCATCATTAGCCTTTATGACTTGGTGGAGATCTGATTCCATTAGCTCAAAAACAACATAGATATCCTTAAAATCTCTCCTCGAAGGTGGAAGCATGATGTGTTTGATTTCAACAATGTCTGGGTGTCTCAGAAGCCTGAGAAGCTTTATTTCACGAAGAATTCGAGCAGCATCAGAAATGTGTTCAAAAATGTCGTGTATTTTCTTTATTGCCACTTTTTCACGAGTATGAGTGTCTATTGCAGAGCAAACAACACCATAGCTTCCTTTTCCTATGACCTCCTGAATTTTGAACCTATTCGCATCACCATAGTCGGAGAAGAACTCCATCTCCGTTGATCTCTGTTGCAACACAGAGAAAATTAGTCCTGAGAATAGAAGGGGGAAATAAACCGTCTTACACATTACAAAACAATTAATAAACGAGACAAGATACTATAATGTAAGACTCTTCATCCATTATCTTTCAAGAGTTTTTCCTGTCCTTCTCTGAGCAATGTTTACAAAGGTCTAACTGGATACCAAAGCATTTTACCGCATTTTACCTCAATACAAACTAATGATAAAATCAAAACAACACAAAGAAACAAAAATATATGCTAGTAATGAACAGTATACTACCTATAAATCCATATTAGGAGTCTAATTTGCAAGCAATCATAAAATAGATAAAATAGAAAATAATAAATAGTCAAATTGGTAATCATAAAGAGAATCATCTATTCAATTTCCCTATCCTCTTCAACGTGACTATCAGTTCGTCCTCTCCTTTTTTGCCATCCTCAACTTGCAATAACGTCTTCCCCATCTCTATAAATTTGGAAAACAATAACACGATGATGACAATAAAAAAATATAAAAGGAAATAGAGAGCGGAATTATGTGTTACTTTACTCTTATCATTGGTAACGAAATATTGGAAACACAAAAGTGATAAGAAATGTCAAGATCAAAATGAATCCAGCTTTAACGAAAGGTAGGTAACCTCATAACATATAACACCAGCAGTGAAATGACAGCAAAAAGAATTGTTTCTTTTCATGGACATACCAGTTGAATTTCAATCTGGAAGGACGAAATAATCTAAGGAAATGCTTTTTTAAGTATAAAAAAAGAAAGCAAAACAGGAAAGAGGATAAAATCCCCCACTAAATCAAATGTAACACGATCAAATGCTAATAAAGAAACATAAGATCTAATTTTCATTAACAAGGCATCGGTTGATAATTAAGGAGCTGAAAAATCAAAAGCATTCATTTCTTGGATAACGGCAGCTTGCGAAATGTAACTGACCAAGATCTGAAAACACCAAAAACTTCAAACATAATTCCACCATTGATATTCAAATCGTTTTTTTTAACTAGTCGATATTCAATCCTTATTAATTTATTCAATCGATCAATTAACTATTAACAGCCAAACAATTCAAACTCCACAAAACTGAATTTACAAACCAGACCAAGGACAGCTCAGTCTTCAAATACGCCAGAAATTAGAGGAAATCCTTTCCTCCATTTGAAATATAAAACCTTAATGGACTTAAGATAAATGAATGAAAATAAGCCACGTCCTTTGAATTTTAATCAAAGAGTTACTAAGTCACACAAATTGCATCAATAAATTGCACCAATAACAGCTCAATTTTTTTCTATTCTACTCAAAACTGAATAAAAATTTTCAGAAAAGTCACAAAACTGAGAAAATAAACTCACTTTCTTTCGATGATCCGGCTGCATTGTACACAAAATTCAATTTCCAAAAACCCCTCAACAAAAAACTACAAAAGATCTTAAATTTAATTAGTGCAACAAGTAACCCAATTCACGGCGTATTCGAACAAATTATCCCAGAAAACTCAACCACATTTGCCCCAACGTCCACGGCTTCGGATAGCAAAGGAGCAGTCCCACCTCGTCGAATTATTCTTATTAAGGTTAAGCCAATCCCTCATATAACAACCCTCTTCTCTAAATCTCCAAGGCAAAACCCAAACGACGACGCACCGCCACCGCTCCTCACCAACAATCATAGAACAACGGAACAAAACATCGACACACCAACTTATGAAACCCTAAAATCCTCTATATAATTTATGCGTGTGAAAATAGGAAAAATGTTTGGATCAGAAGGAACCCTTCAGCTGGTGTAGAGACACCGACAGAGAGAGAGAGAGAGACGAGAGAGTGATAGGGTTGGGGTTAGAGAGAGGAAAAAGAGAGCGAAGATTTATACATTTTTATATACATGGACAAATATGTGTATATATCGCTGTGTATGTATAGGTTCGTACTGTTAACGATACAATTTTGCATGTGCACATTGCGTGTCAAATCGGCTGAGTTATCTGCTGCGGGTAATTGTACATTCTACCAAATCACGTTCGAATTATGAATCTTATTTTGTTTTTATTAATCTTGTAATCTGTATTATTAAAAAAAAAAGGACATGGTCAACGATAAATTTGGCAATCCGTTCATTTGGAGGGGGAAGGTTAATCTATAGTTGTACTTTTGACTTTCAATGCCTATTTGAGCCTCGCTGTAAATTAGTTGTACATTATTATAAATTATCCATTTAAGAGTAATTAATAGGCTCCATTTGGATTCGTTATATTGTCACCACATTTTAATTGTAATTAAACTTGTCAATCTTTATTAATTGTAAAAATTATATTCTTAACTTTTTTTCGCTGAAATTTTCAACATTTCGTTAATTAATACGTCTCATCATTTATGATAATTTATATTAAGCCCTATTTGAGCCACATTCTCATTTTCATTTTCATTCTTCAGTCATTTTCAATTATACATTTTTCAATAAATAATATTTTTATCACATCAATAACTTTTCCTTTTTTTTCAACCACATATTTACCATCACATTACAAAAAAAAAATGTATTCTCTCCTAAAAAATGTGTATCAAACACACTCTAAAATATTTTGTTTTCATGCTTTGAAATGAGAGAAAAATATTTTTTCGCATTTTTATTTATTTAATTTTAAAAAATATGATGAAAAATAATTTATTTTACGTCATTTCAACGAACTTTTGGACATAAAATTATTATCAAATACAAAATGTGTTTAACTAATGAAAAATTTGAGTATAAAATTTTTATTTATTTAATTTTAAAAAATATGATGAAAAATAAATTATTTTACGCCATTTCAACGAACTTTTGGACATAAAATTATTATCAAATACAAAATGTGTTAACTAATGAAAAATTTGAGTATAAAATGATATGAAAAATCGATATGGACATAAGTGTTATAATAAGTAAAGATTAAACGTTAAATGCAATTAAAATGTGGTGCAAAAAATAAAAATTATGGTACGAATATAATTACCCTTCCAATTAAACTGGCCACTATTCAAGTCATTGAAAAATTAGGCATTTATCTACCTACCTAAAATTAACATGCAAAATGAAATCAGTACACAAAAACTTTCAACCTTCTTTATAATTATTTAGAAGTCAAAACAATATTTGAAACGTGAGAAATTGGGCAATTTCCACTTACCTAAAACTATAAATGTAATATGCAAGAGAATTCAATGTGTATATGCCCAATCTACACCAAAAGTTTCAACCAGCTTTTACAAGTATTTCAAAGTTTTTTTTTTTTTTTTTTGATAACCGCGGATGTCCGGACCAGCTTGCCCGCAACTCGACTAATCTCACGGAGCCCTGAAGTTTACGGTCGAGTACTCACCTCAGTGGGTTTGAGGAAACTCGAATTAGTGACCATTGGGGAGCAATCACAAGGCTTGACCAATAGTATTTCAAAGTTATTTACCAAAAGAAATTGCCGTCTCTCATTAATATATAACTCTAAAAAATCGTAGACAAATTTTCCAATTGATACTTATTTTGCATCTTTCGTGGAAAGTCTGTATATTTCTTTTTTTCATCAAAGATACTCGACGAAGAATTTCACCTTCAATGTGTGAGATATAAAGAAACTGTTTTTACGCATGTTTATACTCTCATTTGATATGAACCAAATAAGTATAATTTATAAGTGAGATTTTGGTTGTCGAGTCAAGGCATTAAAAGTTTGGAGATAATATAAAATATTATACTTTCAAGTGTATTATATTATTTAGTAATATGTAATTCGCGATTTTACCCTTGCAAGACAAAAAATGTTAACGAGGGTTATTTTCAGTAGAGTGCTTAAATGTGAAGTAAATATGGAGGAAAGTTCTCAAACTAATTCAGAAAACGACTAATTAATCCTTTTTTAATGTGACAACGAAATTACATGTTGGTAGTTTCTACATTTAAATATGTTAAATCAAAATTAAATACAAAAAAAATAAAAAACCAAAGAAATCACGTGTTGGTGGTTTCTACATTTAAATACGTTAAAGTGAATAAGATGAAATTAAAAAAAAAATAGCCCTTGTTTGGTAAAAATTAAAATTTTAATAAAAGTCAAAGTCAATAATTAATTTTAATAAAACCTACAGCTTTTCGACCATACATTTCACCAATATTGATTACGATATACCAAAAATTGATTTTAATCTTCATAAAACGGGGCATAATTTTTTCCTTGTGGCAATCAATAATTAAAGAATTAAACCTAAAGATACCAATAAGAGTGTGATTTGACGGCCAATTTGTAAAGAAATTGTTTGCTATTATATTCCCTGTCGTTTGGCCATTAGGCCAACTTGTTTCTTGTTTGTCAACTTTATTATTTTAAAAATAAAATTTAATTTAATGTTATTGGTGTTGTAATATTACTAATCTATTAATCTTTATAACAATAATAACTTGCAGCGGATGGGCGACACCAGCTTGCCACCAAACTATTTCTTCATATTTCAAACCTTCTAGAATGCTGCAACATTATTCATGAAGCATAGCTTCATAGTAATTTTTGCATTTTTATTAGGCAATATTAATAATATTAGTCAATGTTGAACGTGTGTCTAGAGATGACAATTTTCCCCGTCCCATCCCGTCCCCGCGGGGCTCTGCCCCCGAATGGAGCAAAAAAAAAAACCCGTCCCGAACGGGTGGCGAGACGAGACGAGACGAGGCGGGGAGGGGCTTGCCGCCCCATCTCGGGTAGCGGGGCGGGGCATACCCGGCACGTGAAGAATTTAAAAAAAAAAA